CAAATACCAGTAGGAAGTAATTTGGGAGTAATTTTTGTCCACATTCACATCAAATGGGGAATATTAAGGAAGAATTCAGCTGGAACAAAAAAATATGCAGAAAGAAATACTTAAAGATCCACAAACATGGAGCACTAGATTTTGACTCTCTTATATATCACAGAATCAAACAGGGGAAGTTTATACACTAACTATATTGGAGCAAATAACATAGGTTTAAGACTAACCCATATATTATTCTTTAACATGTTTCAAAATTAATTCAATGGGGACTTAAAAATCATGAACTAGCATAGAAAACTTAAACATTATTAACCTTTAAGATGAATTCGTAGTCGAACCTCAAAAACACCACCAAAAAGAATGAGCTGGTTGTTTTCCCCGACGAGCTTCAGCAACAGCTTCACAATCGAGCTTCAACAACGAGCTTCAGCAACAACTTCACCTACGAGCTTCACCAACAACTTCACCGACAGCTCTTCAGAAACGAGCTTCACCAACAGCTTCACCAACAAGCTTCACCAACGAGCTTCACCAACAGCTTCACCAACAAATTTCGTTTTTCTCACCAAAATCTTCAGAAATTCCTTTCACATGCAGCTTCACCCACAAAAATCTCTCTCACATTGCTTTGATGAAATTTCTGAAAAATAAGGGTTTCTAATCAATTTCATTCTTTTTCTCTACATTTTCTAAAAAGTTAATAAATAAGAATTAATTTTTTAGGAGGGACTAATTATATTGGAGGCAAATATATTTTTTAGGAGGAAAAAATATTTAGGGCTAAAAAATCAGAATTATTTTTCTAAAAAACCGTTGCCATAGAGTTGTCTATAGTAACGGTTTTAAAACTTGTTGCTATACCTTCTCTATAGGGACGGTTATCGGGATTATGCAACAGTTTATTTTAAGAATTGTTTTATTAGATTCAAGGATATTTGGCCACGGTTATAACCGTTGTAATAGGTTAGCTATTGCTACGATGGTATAACCGTTGCTAAATAAGCGTTGCAGTAAGTCAAATTTGTAGTAGTGTACACTAAACCATTCACTAAAATGGATATAATATTTTATTGGAAAACTAGATTCACGCGTAATTGGTGGCATTGGAAAAGGATTTAAATATATTTAATTTTATAGGTGATGTTTCCCTTAGTTCTTTATATTTTAAGAGATATGGTAATTTCAAGGAAAACCTTTTGAACATCATGGACGTTATTGGACGTTTGACCTTCAAACTTCACGAAACTTGACACATTTCCTATAAATACTATAATAACTCATATAAGGACCTCATAATCTCATGAAACACACATAAACACATATAAGAAACACATGTGACTTCGTCACCGAAGGTCTTAGTTATCCCTAGACGTTTAATTTTCAAATCACCTAAACATTCTTTAAAGCACAACATTAACATGTTAACAAGATTATAGGAACAAGTGAGGCTACCGACACCCTAAATAATTTTTGGGGTATTACTCTAATTATTTGGCAGCGTTTATGGATCTCATGAATAGAATGATTCAAAGATATCGAGATTCATTTGTCATTTTTTTCATTGACGAAATCTTGGTATATTCAAAAAATTATGGTGAACACATAGATCATCAAAGAGTTGGGTTGAAAATGCTGAAGGAAAACCAACTTTTTGACATGTATAGCAAATGTGAGTTTTAGTTGAGGTCGGTGACGTTTCGTGGTCATTTCATCTCTAGAGAGGAGGTTTAGGTTGATCCAAAGCAAAATTGA